AAAAATACAAATTGTGCTCATTAAAATTAAAAACTTTTGTGCTTCAAAGGATACTATTGAGAAAGTGAAAATACAACCCACAGAATGGAAGAAAATATTTGTAAATTATATATCTGATAAAGATTAAGTATCCAAAATATTTATTTCTTTAAAGATTTTATTTATTTATTTGACAGAGAAAGAGCACAGCAGGGGAGGCAGCAGGCAGAGGGAGAAGCAGACTCCTCCCTGAGCAGAGAGCCTAATGCAGGGCTTCATCCCAGAACCCCAGGATCATGACCTGAGCTGAAGGCAGCAGCTTGAAAAACTAAGCCACCCAGGTGCCCCAAGTATTCAAAATACTTAAATAACTCTTAACAACTCAACAGCAGAAAGAGCTAAATAACTGAATTCAAAACTGGGCAAAGCATCTGAATAGACACTTCTCTTTTTAAAAGATACAAATGCTAACAATCATATGAAAAGGTGCTCAACATTATTGGTCATTAGGGAAATGCAAATCAAAACCACAATGAGAGGGGTGCTTGTGTGGCTCAGGTGGTTGAGCATCTGGCTCTTGGTTTTGGCTCAGATCGTGATCTCATGGGTTGTACGATAGAGCCCCGCATTGGGCTCCATGCTGAGCAGAGAGTCTGCTTGAAGATTCTCCCCTCTGCTCCTCCCCCAACTCTCTTTCTCAAATAAATAAATAAAATCCTTTTAAAAATCTCAATGAGATACTACCTCAAACCCACTAGAATGGCTAGAATGAAAAAGATAAACAAGTGTTGACAAGGATATGAAGAAATTGGAATCCTCATACATTGGGAATGGAAATATACAATGGTAGAGCTGATGTGGAAAAGTTTGACAGTTCCTCAAAAAGTTAAACATAGTTACCATATGACCCAGAAATTCTGCTCATAGATATATACCTAAGAGAATTGAAAACTTACATCTACAAAAAAAAATTTGAACACAAAAGTTCATAATAGCATCATTCATAATAGCCAAAGAATAAAGTATCTTGGTTTTTTCTTTTATGAAGTTTTAAATTTTATTTGCACCTTTTTATTGTTTTGGAAACAGCTGCAATTGACAAAGCTCACATAAAATATAACTACTAACACTTCACTCTCAGGGCTGAACCCTGGGATTACTGGGAACCAAGTTTCCTGCACTATCTGCTATGTTAAAACATATAGAGAAGAATCTGTTGGAAGTGACTTGAATCTATAGTCTAATAGCTGGCATTTTAATCAGGATTGTTACTAGTGATCACTTTATTCTTTTATAGCAATCAGTCATTACAATGCTCATAATCTATTGGTCTCTATGTGCTTGTATGAATACAGTGGCCAAATCTATTCTTTCACACCTACTGAACCTGCTTCACCACCAACCTGCTCCTCATTGTTAGATCCCTTCCCTTTTACTCAGGCTTGGTAGGCTGGCCGCCAGAGCCTCTTAGGTGACCTGAGAGAGAGAGTTCATTGCCTGCAAGAGATCATTCACATGGGCTGAGTAGCATCCTATAGGCAGAGATAGAACTTGGCTTTCTTGGTACTTTCCTCGTTTGAAATATCTACTACTGCTTGCCCAAACTCCTCAAAATTCTTCATCTGGGCCTCCTTTGCCATGTTCTCATAGAATTGATGACTCAAGGATTGATAAATCAACTGGGTGGATGTTTGTCCGTGAAGTCTCCCTGTAGTCTGCTTTATAAAAAACTACATGGATAGAAAACAAAACTAAACCAAAATGGATTGTCTCCTTTGGAGAAGTTTAACAATTAGGTTGGATTGCTAAACCTGAGATACCCATTTAGAGCCACTGGCTGCCTATTGGTCATGGCAGCTGCCAAGAAATTAAAAAGGGGGCCAGCATGGGTGAGTGGCTGCATATGCTTCAGGGGGACAAGGCTGCCCTGTGAGCCTACCTTACCCAAAATAATAGGTTGAAAGGTGAACTGGAGTTTTCACAGAACATTTCCTAGGCAATGCCATTTCAAGAGACAAATGATGGCATCTACAGTTCTTTGGTCCTCTTAGGAAGGAAAACTTTACAGTTTTTTGTTAAATATTTTCAAACTAAGCTTTGCTAGCATTCTGAGCTTTACAGTTATCATGACTTACCCATTTTTAGGGATTTCTTAATAAATCTCACACAATGATACTTTCCAACAACTGGATGAGGTCCCATGGGTGATCTGTAAAAGCTCCTACCAACCTTGTTAGAGTAATTTGACTGATAAAAGGTAGATGCCAGGGGACAGCTGGGTGGCTCAGTCAGTTAAGCATCTGACTCTTGATTTTGGTTCAGGTCATGATCTCAGGGTCGTGAGACTGAGCCTCACATCAGGCTCCACACTGGGCATGGAGCCTGCTTAAGATTCTCTCTCTCTCTCTCAAAAAAAAAAAAAGATTCTCTCTCTCTCTCTCCCTCTGTTCCTCCCCACCACATGCACTCTTTCTCTTAAAAAATGAGAAAAATGAGAGAGGTAAGTAGGTGCTATTGGTCATGTGTCAAAGGGGATTTGAGAGGCAAAGGGCAAGGTCTTGGGAGTGACATCAGTAATTGAAGGAAAGGGAAACCAAAGTTGCCAATTGTTGAGGGAGCAGCTGGGGCAGGAGTCAGGGACTCAAAAATTAAGTCCTAACAAAGGAAATGAAGATCCTGGGATCTCTTCTGTGCAGACAGATGGCCCCTGGGTCTAAATCTCTGGCTGTGACTTTTTTCCTTAGTTAATATCTTCACATCACATTGTTCTTTAAACTGTCCAGTATAAACGAAACACTTCTGTAGGATGCCAATAGAAAAGGAAGGAAGTAGATGTCCTGGTTTTAACCAGAGGAGGAGAAATTACCCCTGGCCATCAATGAGGAGATAGATTTGGAGACCAAACTGCACTATAAAATATTTTATTAACTACTTTTATTTTGAAAAAATTTTTTAGAGAAGAAGAGAAGTAGGGAAGGGGCAGAGGAAGAGGGAAAAAGAGAATTTCTTAAGCAGGCTCCACACCCAGCACAGAGCCTGATGGAGGGCTTAACCAACTAAGCCACCCTGGTGCCCCACGACTACCTTTAAAACATTCTGTCATAAGCATTTTCCTAATCAATAAAAGCGTTCACATAAGAAAATTATTGAAGTGTAATATACACTCAGAAACGTGTACATAAGTTAAGTGTACAGTTTGAAGGATTTTCATAAACTGAACAGATACATCTACATGGCTAGCTCCGCAGAAGCAGTGATTTTTAATAGCTCTATCATAGTCCATCATAATTTGCTTAACCATTTCTAATCCTGACCATTTTTTATGATCAATCATGCTGAAGCAATATTTTATCTTTCCTCCCAAACTGTAACACCACTGCCACCATCCCCGGTGCCCCTCTGGGTTGGATACTAACGATGTCCTTCCAGTGCTTATAATGGTCTTTGATTACTTTAACATCCCATTGGCTAGCGACTGTTTAACCTTGACCATCCCCAACCCTGGAAAACCCTGTTTGTCCATGTTATATCCTCTAGGCTATTGAGTGTGGTGAGAGAAAGTACAGAACCATTCCAGCGAAGGCCACTACAAATTCATGCCATCCGTTCAAGGCCCTCACTGTTGTGGTATGTTCTGTGTGTGAAGATTGGGTTGTTTGTTTGCCTTCATGTTAGTGAATAGTATTGACAAAATATTCTAAGTGATGTACAACTTCTTAGTATTATCTTTGTCAGGTTTTAAAGATTAGAAGCTCACTTGCAATTTTATATTTTGAAAAGAATGCAAATGGCTGGTTTTGGAAGCTTAGATGCTTGTATAATGCTTCCTATGGTGGGATAGATGGGGTGAATGGATGATTTTAAGTGGGACACATTTTGTACATATTTCTTTTAGTGAGTCTGAGAATAAAATATAGTTAATACAGTAAACTGAATTCTCTCCAATGCCATTGCTTAGAAATAGAGTAAGTTTTTAAAAGTAAGCTGAGTTAAAGTCAATTTAAAGAAAAACTGTAATTATGTAACAGGCCGGGTGGCCCACAGATGCACTGTGAAAGCGGCCATGAAATGACACGACTTCACTACCACTTAGCGGTCTTGACAGCTTTCTCTTGGGGTCCTAATAGAGGAAGAAACAGTTATCTAGACTATGCCAAGAAAAGAGAACCAGACCCTCAAAGCTGTACGAAAATAGGGCTTACTTCATGTTCTTGGCCTCTTTGTGTGACATATCTCATGGGTCAGTTTCGTGCAAAGCAGTTATTATGGAAGCAGTTATCATGTGTCAGCCAGATTTTCAGTTTATTAACATATTCTGAGATAATAGCAGCCTTTCCATTTTGAGACCAAATTTTTCAAATTACTTGTGGATGAGGATGAGTCTCTTTGTTATGTGAACATGAGTTCACGTAACAAACTCTCTTTGTTACATTATATAATGATAAGATTTAGAGGTTTTTTTTTAAGGTTTTATTTATTTATTCATGAGAGACAGAGAGAGAGAGAGAGAGGCAGAGACATAGGTAGAGGGAGAAGCAGGCTCCCTCTTGGGAGCCCAATGCAGGACTTGATCCCAGGTTCCCCAGGATCACGATCTGAACCAAAGGCAGAGAATCAGACACTGAGCCACCCAGGCATCCCAATTGAGACGGTTTTTTAAGTCATCTCTACACCCAAAATGGAGATAGAACTCATGAACCCAAGATCAAGAGTCACACGTTCTACTGAGTGAGCCCACATGCCCCTGATTTAGGTTTTTGTTTTTGTCTTTCTAAACTCACAGTCCAGGATCAAATGGACCTGTTGGACATTCAATATTTCGGTGTCCATGTGTGTATTTGGGTGTGCCATTTGGCTCATAGTACCTTATGCTTTTATCACTTTACTTTGCTTCCACACCTAAACTAAGTCCTAAGGGAAGTCCCAAGGGAAGAAACCATGTCTTTGTCTTTTTTTTTTTCTTAAATCTTCAGTACCAGTATAATAGCTTGTTAAAGTAGACATACGAATATCTATGGGCAGACAGCAGGTGTATACATCCAATACTTGAAAGAAAAACCCTAGTATGGAAAAGTCCAAGCATATGCATCATGAACACACCATCTAGAACTTTCTAAACCCTGTTTCGTGGATGTATAAGAGGAAGGCTGGGGAAAGATATCAGTTAAATGTATGCTTCCTCTTTCCTAATAGAAAAAGCAAAATACAATACACCATGGGGAAGACACTGTTGTAAGAATTACACAGCAGCCAGAGAGAGGAGAGGCTCCTGACCTCCACGGCCAGCATGATATAAGCAATGATGAGCTGGGCGTGGGCCCAGGTGAGAGCTCTATAGAACAGCCGCATTGGCCAGGAACTGATAAACAAGCTGGCAAAGGTGTGAATCAGGTAATCAGCTTCCACCATCAGAGCCCAGCAGAGGAAACCAAACACCTGTCCTGGATGGAGTCCATGCCACCAGGCGGAGAAGGCGAATGTCTGCAGCAGTGGCCAGGCCCCGCCCTGCTGGAATACCAGGCGTCTGAGCCACCGTGCTGTGCTTTGGTTCCACTTTCTCGTGAACAGGGATATCCTGTGGGTTGTTTCCAGTGTCCAGATGTCCGCATCGGAGATGGATCCCTCCTCACCAGGGCTCTGACCAAACCCAGGTCCAAAGCCCGCTGCATGGAGGAGGGCGTCATCCAGGATCCAGCAGGAGTAGTAGGTGAGTTTGAAGAGCCCAGCTGTGGACCACATGACAAAGATGCACTGGAGCTGCTGGCAGTGGGTCAGACCTGCTCCTGCAGTCAGCACCTTCCTCAGGATTACCTTTAGGCACTCGAGGCCCAGCATCTGCAGACCCCTCCAGGGAAGAACCCAGACAGAGCTCCTGGGACACAAATTCCTGGACCTTTGAACGCAAGCCTGAAATTTCTGGAAGGAACACAGGGGGCCTCCTAGGAGAGCCGGGAAAAAGAGCAAGTAGCTGAAATAGGGGAGTACCTTACACAGATGCTCAGACAGAGAGCTTCTGTCCCTGAGGCCTCTTGATGCTCCCTCCACTTTTCCCTCACAAATGTCCAGAGAGAGAGATGTGACCCTCTGGGTCAAAAGCATGAGGGAAGAAAGAGTGATGCAGAACCTGAAAGAGATTTATTTAAAATGTAAAAATGTTCCATATTCCTTTCATCCTGTTCCAATCCCTCCCACATGACCCCATAGCAAATAGCTCTGAACAATGAAGACCGATGTCCTGCCCTGCAGTGTCCCCACAAAGACTCTTGGAGTAATTCAGACCACAGGCTACTCTGGTCAGGATCAAAAGGTAAATCATTAGTTTTAGGCAACTAAAAAAATGACAAGGAATATTATGGGGAAATATTCTAATATTCCTAAGAGTGGCTTATACAGATTAGGATCAGAGACCCAGGAGAAATTTGCCATAGAAGAAACAAAAATTTATTACTGAAGGGACTCTAAGAAGATGAAGATTTTAAATATGAACCAGTCCCTGATAGTAAGATTCTGCAGGCTTTGGGATCTGTCCTCAGGAACGGTGAGTCAAGCTAGGGGTTCAGGGTGTGCACTGAGTCATTAGCAGTTTGAGTTGTGTTCTTAACCAATCACCTGAACTGCTTCTGCTTCAGTGTCACAAGGTAGAGAAGATCCTGCTGGCAAGGCTATTATGGAGAAAATTAATGAAAATTATAAGATGCCTTCTACAATCAGGAACGCTCCCCTGTGGAGAGAAAATTGCACTGTTTCCCACCTGCTGCTGTTTCTGTGAGTCTGAGGACAACTCATCTCCTCACCTGACTTATCCAAGCAGTGAGCAAGGTAGCCTCCAAACACCACCAACCCTTGTTTGTACACCTGCTGTCATGGGCTGAATGTGTTCCCCTCCAAATTCATATATTGAAGCCATAACCTCCAGTACCTCAGAATATGACTGTATTTGGAGATAGGATGATGAAGTTAAAATGAGGTCATTGGGTAAACCCTAATCATATATGACTGGTGTCCTTATAAGAAGAGGGGATTAGGACACAGACACACTCAGAGAGAAAACCAGATGAGGACACAGGGAAAGACAGCTGTCTACAAGCCAAGGAGAGAGACCTTGGAAGAAGGTGAACCTGCCAACACCTTGACCTCGAACTTCCAGGCTCCAGAGGAAGTAAATTTCTGTTGTGTGAGCCACCCGGTCTTCGGTACCTTGTTAAGACAGCCAGAGCAAACTAATCCATCTTCCCATTTTAGCTCTGGCTCAGCCCTCTTCCCATCAGCCAGATCCTGTTCAACTTGCTCCTCTGGCCCCTATCAGGTCCCAGCTCCCTACAGAAATCCTAATTCACCACACCCTAGTTAGTAAGCCCCACTCCCTACCCACTTGCCATCTTGCCTCTTCTTCCAAGAAGCAAACCCTAAAGCCTCTGGTAAAATGATGAAGACAAAGAAAAGAATTCCGGCTGTGGTAGGGATGGCAAAATGAGCGAACCAGTGGCAAACTGAAATCAGAGAGGTGACCTGCCTCAACAGGTCTCAGCCCTTGTTCTCTGAGTGACAGGCCATGGACCCACAACCACTTGTGATAACAGAGGAAGCCATTGACCACAGGCCCCAAGATTGCAGAGATACCTGATTTCCCCTAACCTTGGTGATGTCACCAACTTATGAAAACACTTCTCTAGACTATAATTAGTGTCTGATTCTCTTTCCTAGACTGGGTAACCACCCTTCCTCTGGGAGACTGGAACAGCTGAGTCTCAATGAAAGCAAAACTCGTGCTCAGCAACTTCCATGGGAAGGCAGCAAAGGTTTACAGTGGTCCTTCCTGGTCCTGCTAACGGGGAGGAGAGCTACTGGCTGTGTGTCCAAACCACCCACTCTGAGCTGAGCAAACTGTGCTTAGTCACCTCCAGGCAGGCCTCATCTGTGGGCACTGGGACTCCTGCTTCAGCGCCTTTTTCAGGCATAACGATAACTAAAGCTAAGTGCGAGACACTGTGCTACACAGGCAACACGTGGTAGTTATTTATAGTCATATAATTACACTTATATTATCTCGAACATGAGTCTTGCAAGACAGCTATTGTCACACACACACACATATACATATACACATGCACACACATTATTTTTTTTACGAAAAGAAATTGAGGCTGAGAGGTTAAATGACTTGCTTAAGGTTGCACCGCTCAAATGGGCAAGAATTTGGATTTAAACTCAATACCCAAGTTCTTTCCACCTCCACCATGGTGCAAGCTAAGCCTTGGTTGCTTTCGTATAGCCGAATGAACAGGCTGCTTTACCTCACGGAAGGACGTTCTTGCAGATAATACTCAGTATAGTGCAGCCCCAGGTGACACAGCGTCTGCCAGCCCATCTGAAAGAGGAAAGCCCACCTGTGGACATCCTGTGGGCCCAGCAAGCAAATCAGAACCGTGGCACACAGAGCAGGGATGAAGACCAGCACAGCAAAGGGACCCATAGCAGCCAAGGCCAGGGCGGACCCCCCAGCCAGGAGAAAGAGGTATCTGAAAGAAAAGGACATGTGTGAGACTGATTTGGAATGGTGTGACAAATGAGTCACTCCCGATATCATTCTGGATACTCCAAAGGAGCTAAGCCCCATGTAGCACCTAAAGAAGCCATACTGTTATCACCCCAAAGTCTTTTTGTTTTTCTGAAGGAAAGAACCAAGGGAGAAAAAGCCAGAGTCCATTCGAAATGACTATCTCAGGAGATAATTTTTTTTTAAAGATCTTATTTATTTATTTATTTATTTATTTATTTATTTATATTTATTTGACAGAGAGAGAGAGAGAGAGAGAGAGAGAGAGCATGAGCAGGGGGAGGAGCAAGGGGAGAGGGACAAGCAGACTTCCCACTGAGCAGGGAGCCCAATGAGGGGCTGGATCCCAGGACCCCAGGATCATGACCTGAGCTGACGGCAGACACAACCAACTGAGTCACCCAGGCGCCCCTCCTAGGAGACAAATTTTGATTCCCACCTTAGTGATCCTGCGAACCTCTCTTTGATGTCCACCACTCAAGTGGGAACAATACCTGCCCCTGATAATCCTGTGGGTCACAGCTCCAGAAGGTTTCCTGGTGGGGATATCTTAAAAATCTAGTGGCTTATTGCCTGAATGAAAAGTGGTGTGAACCTAGCCAGCTGAGGATCTAGGAAAGTTCTCCAGACATCACTTCATCAAGATGAGGCTCTTCTCTTTTTTTTGCTGGGTTACATTGCCCTGAACCATTCCACAGTGGGACAGTGGGAAAGGTGACGCCATGCCACTCTCTAAGTGTTTGAAAACTCAATTAGAAAATCTTTATAGGTGCTCTTCACCCTCCTGACTGCACTTTAAGATCGTATGAGTTGGTGGGTTTTTTTAAATGTTGTTTGTGGAAACCGCCTCCCTCGGAAGCTGGTAGATGACCTGAGAATGTGCAGAGACCTGGGGGATTTCACATTATAAGGACTCACTTCTTTCCATAGTATATGGAGGTTGGTTGGTTGGCTGGTTTTACAAAGTTTGCTGTTTTGTTTTTGTTTTTATTTTTGTTTTTAGTAATCACTACACCCGACATGGGGCTTAAGCTCATGACCTGAGATTAAGAGTCATAGGCTCTTCCAAATGGGTCAGCCAGGTGCCCCTGTTTGTTTTAATTGGTACCAAATTAATAAATCTGAATGAAAAGGTGTGAAAATAGGTACTGACTACTCAGGGATAGGAAAATTGAGTCAAAGAGGCCTATGTTTTGTTGACCATCACTGGGTATATTCCATGGCTCCGTGGCACAGTGACACACACACAGTGGTGAGAGTGTCATTCTTGGGAGGGACTGGTAGGCTCCCCAGTGTGAGCAGCTCTATCACACAAGGTGGGGGCCATTTCTGTGCTTCTCTTTGAGCTAACCCACCCCAATCAATGCTGTGGGCCAAACCTTCACCTCCCTGCCATGGAAAAATAAGGGGTACACGTATTTCTTACACAGCAGAAGTGGAAGCTGGAAGTAGCAACTGCCCTAAGGCTTTGTAAACATTAAAATGTTTACACATGTACAATGTAGGCTACATGGTATGTTGAGTGCTTATTTTATTTTAGGCATTGTGCTAATGATCCCTTTCTAAGAAATATCTTTATTTATCCTTAAAATACCCTCATGACATAGGCATTATTATTTCCATTTCACAGATCAACTTGGAGAGAATTTATTCACATACATAAGGACACTCAGGAAGGGAGGGACCCAGGACCCATCAGGCTGACTCCAAAGCCAGAAATCTTAACCCTCTGGGAGTTAACTTTTGTTTTTGCACTTGTTTTGCTTTATTATTTGTGATTCTTGCTCAATAGGAAACTTTTTTACAACCACCCTTCCATCTCCTAAATGAAGGAAAGGCTATTGACCAGTTGTGAACTTGTAGTAACATACTACAGATTGTGTATATAATAACATACCAAATTCAGAAATTCTAACTGATTAGTAGATACAGCTAGATTTTACTTAAAACCCCCAATGTATTAAAATGTTAATTTCTGGGATGTCTGGGTAGCTCAGTGGTTGAGCGTCTGCCTTTAGCTAAGGTCATGATCCCGGGGTCCTAGGATTGAGTCCCGCATCAGGTTCCCTACAGGGAGCCTGGTTCTCCCTCTGCCTATGTCTCTGCCTCTCTCTCTTTGTCTCTAATCAGTAGATAAATAAAATCTTTTTTAAAAAAAATTTAATTTCTAAAACAAGTGAATTATTAGGAGGTAGCCCTCTGGCAATGGATTTTCACTTTACAAAAGGTATTCCGCAAACTTCTTTAAAAACAGAGACTAGGGGGATCCCTGGGTGGCGCAGTGGTTTAGCGCCGGTCTTTGGCCCAGGGCGCGATCCTGGAGACCCGGGATCGAATCCCACGTCGGGCTTCCGGTGCATGGAGCCTGCTTCTCCCTCTGCCTGTGTCTCTGCCTCTCTCTCTCTCTCTGTGACTGTCATAAATAAATAAAAAAAAAAAAAAAAAAAAAAAAAAAAAAAACCAGAGACTAGGGATCCCTGGGTGGCGCAGCGGTTTGGCGCCTGCCTTTGGCCCAGGGCGCGATCCTGGAGACCTGGGATCGAGTCCCACATCGGGCTCCCGGTGCATGGAGCCTGCTTCTCCCTCTGCCTGTGTCTCTGCCTCTCTCTCTCTCTCTCTCTCTCTCTCTCTCTGTGTGTGTGTGTGTGACTATCATAAATAAATAAAAATTAAAAAAAAAAAAGGAGACTATCTTGGAGCGCCTGGGTGGCACAGTCCATTGAGCATGTGATTCTTGGTTCCAGCTCATGTTTGATCTGGGGTCATGAGATCAAGCCCCAATTCGGGCTCCATGCTCAGCAGGGTGTCTGCTTAAAATTCTCTCTTCTTATCCCTCTGCCCCTCCTCCCTGCTCTCTCTCTCTCTCTAAAACAAAATAAGTCTTTAAAACGGGGACTGTCTCTCATGTATAGAATCTATTAGCTATACAAAAATCATTTCAATCAAGTTATCAAATCTCTAGTGACAATAATTTTTAAATCCCAGATTGAGATATAATCTAACATATTTTTTTGACTTATTCCATTTCTCTGAGAAACCATACAAAGGCATTTTTAAAATCACTTAGTTATATATTTAACAAAATTTAATTTTGTTGAAAATGATAAAATTCCATGAACTTAGGACTGTTCAAGAATATGGAGGACATATGGTAGGGGTATAGATGTATCTGTTTGGGGAATTCTTGTACCATCTCAACATCTATCTCTCCCTAGAGTTTATTTTTATCCTTTTCCCATTTAATGTAAACCTACCATACTTTGAGTCAATGCAGTCATGATGTCAATTTCCAGTTCCATTTCATTCTATCAGGGATACTTATAACCAAGCAATCAATAATCAGTGATAGTGATAATCACTTAAAAACAACCATATAATTAATTATTGAATCTTCATGTCTGCATCCCAATCTGTGCTTTTTGATCTACTATGGTATTCATAAATGTAAGAATAAAATTAGCCCTTAAGCCTACCTGGCATGGATGGAAAATGAATCCATAATGCAGAGATAATTAAACAGAAGTGCAAAAGGAAAAGCAGCCCCTTGATAAAGTGATACAGGATGGAGGAAAAACAGCTGAAGCCAATCCATTATGAACTGGAACAAAGATACTGTCCTTTTCAGAGTCCTTAACAGGTGCCTTTCTGTAAGAGAAACCTCAAGCAGGCTCTCTTTGATCTTTTTATATGGCTCAGGAAGGCCTGGGTGAGTACAGAGCAAACAAAAGGGCTGGCAAGAAGCAGTATAAAAGTTGACTTTCTGATAAAGGGAACTGCACTATAGAAACCAAAACACATTTGGGTATTATATTAAGAATGTACAGAAAACATTGCTTTCAGAAGTTCTCGTTTTGTTTAGTTTACATACTGCGTTGTTTGCCTTTCCAGTCATCTGACTGTCATATTTTCTTCACTAAGCTCATGAAAAATCTTATTTTCCAGTTGTGAACAGATAACCAGTCGGCTGGCAAAGGGGAGCAAGGACATGAGCATGAGGAAGGCAGGCAGGTTCTCAAAGAGCAGAAGGATTCCTCCTCCCAACCATCACTGTCCTCCTTCTGCTATTTCTTTCTCTTTTTTTTCATAGTACCTATCACCACCTCTTACGTATCTATTTCTCAACTAGTTTGTGGTCTGTCCCAGCTATAATGTAAGCTCTAAAAGGGAGAAATTTTGTTTTGTTTATTGCTGTATCCCCCGTATATAGAACTGTACTGGGCATATGCTTTATACTCAGTAAATACATATGAAACTTTAAAAGGGTTTAAGGAAGTAAAGTGTAGAGAGGAACATTTAAGGAGATGCTTTTCTCCAGAGCATGGTCAAGAAATACAAGAGACTGCCTAGAAGCAAGACAAAAACAAGTCATCTCTTGGCTAGTAGAGTCCATCTACTGAGCCCAGAGTATTAGAGTGATGTACCTGACTGGCCATTTTTCATCTCTGAAGACACATGCAACAGCAAGCAGCCTTAAATAAAGGACAGGAGAGTACGGCCTGATACAAAAGCGTCTTAAGGGCAAGGACCACCTCTTAGTGAGAGATAGCTATGCAAAGAAGGAAAAGCAGAGGGAGAATCTCCTATTAACTAAGGGACTCTAAGCTAAATCTCTTCTGACACTGAACTCCTTGATTAAAAAATTAGGAATAGGATGGCTGGGTTGCTCAGTGGTTGAGCCTCTTCCTTCATGATCGCAGGGATCTGGGATTGAGTCCCACATCAGGTTCCTCACAGGGACCCTGCTTCTCTCTTTGCCTATGTCTCCACCTCTCTCTCTGTGTCTCTCATGAATAAACAAATAAAATCTTAAAAAAAAATTAGGAGCATCTGGGTGGACTAGCCAGTTAAATGTCTGCCTTGGGCTGGGGTCATGATCTCAGGGTCCTGGGACAGAACTCCCACATCAGGCTCCCTGCTCAGTGGGGAGCCTACTTCTTCCTCTCCCTCTGCCCTGCCCTCAGTTGTATTCTCTCATTCCCTCTCTCTCAAATAAATAAAATCTTATTTTTTAAATGAGATATAATAAAGCCTGTCTCAACAGAATCATTATGAAGATTAGATAAAGTATGTAAAAGCATGGAATCTAAAGCTGGTTGATGACTGTAGTTGAAAGTAAAACAACTGGATAACAATAAAAATGGCAGCATTATTGGACTACCATTTTATGATAGATTGGTGCCAGGCACTAGGAATATAAAGATGAATAAGACATGGCCCCTGCCTTCAAGCAGCTCTCCATCTACTAGAGAGATGGAAATGGCAATGAATACTTCTAATCCAAGAACTACAGGGGCTGTATACCATGGGTATCCAGTAGTGGTAAATAAAGAAGCAATTATCTGCGAAGATAGGGCATTTTTAAAAAGCAAGAGAAACAGAAATGCTTAAATTGGCACTGGAGGGAGGTTTCTAAACAGATGGACGGCTTACTCCACGCCACAGGTAGCTCAAAGATCTAGATGACAGTAGAACAATGAATAAGCTCACATAATATTGAACATATTAAAATGCAATCACATCCCCCATGAAATATAATTGTTAGGTACAGAAGAATTGAGTTGCAGTTAATTTGTTGGGAAAAAAGTTACTCCTTTTGTGTTTGTTTTAAGTATTTATTAAGTCCTACTTGTAGTTTTCTTTTTGTGTTTTGGAATCAGTACATTTTTTTTTTAAAGATTTTATTAGAAAGTGAATGCATGAGCAGGGGGGAGAGGCAGAGGGAGAGGGAGAAACAGACTCCCCACTGAGCAGGGAGCCCCACATAGAGCTCAATCCCAGGCCCCCAGGGTCATGCTTTAGCCAATGGCAGACACTTAACTGACTGAGCCACCCAGGCACCCCTGAAATCAGTACATTTTATTTTCAGGTCTCAGTTTGTAGGTCCCGAAAAAGCTTATAGGCTCTAGACACTGTACCTAATGTTGATAAAATGGTCCTTCTCGCATGTTGTCATGGTTAATTATTGTATCGACTCAGGCTACCAATCAGTTGGGAGTCCATAAGAACAAAGACTGAGGTTTCCTAAAGAAGCAGCAATTCTACCTCCAAATTGGGACATAGAAACCCTGAGTTTCCAGCATGTAGATTTTGGATTTGAGACTGCAAAATCAACTCCTCCCTGAATTTCCAGCCCATAGGTCTGCTTCCATGAATTTCAGATTTGCTAGCTCCCATAATCACATAAGCCAACTCCTAAAATAAATGTGCGTGTGTAATCTCCCATGGTTCTGTTTCTCTGGAGAACTCTAATACACATGCCTTAGAAGTCTTTCCAATTAATTTAGACAGACATTGCTTGAAAAGGGGTAAGTGCTTATATGCTTGGGGACCATAGAATGGTTCTAAATTTGTCCATATATTTATTCAGTAATTTTTTAAAGATGTTATTTATTTATTCATGAGAGACACAGAGAGAGAGAGAGAGAGAGAGAGAGGCAGAGACACAGGCAGAGGGAGAAGCAGGCTCCCTGCAGGGAGCCCCACGTGGGACTCAATCCAGGGACTCCGGGATCACACCCTGGGCTGAAGGCGGCGCTAAACCGCCGAGCTGCCGGGGTTGCCCTGGATTGATTTTTAAAGGATGATTTTGGCTAAAGGAGATAGGCCCGGATAGGGGAGGGGGTGGAGGGCAGGGATGGGGTCTTCACTCTAGAGGTCAAGGGTGGAGGGAGCAGACTACCGGGAGGGACGACTGCTGAACTTACTAGAGAGGTGGCAGGGGCGCCTGGGTGCCTCAGCCGTTAGGCTTCTGCCTTCAGCTCATAATCCTAGGGTCCCGGGATCCAGCCCCACCTCCGGGAGCCTACTTCTCCCTCTCTGTCTGCTGCTCCTCCTGCTCGTGCATGCTCTCTCTGATAAATAATAGATGATAGAATCTTCCCCCTTTTAAAAAATTTTTATTTAAACTCAACTTGCCAGCATATAGCATAACATCCAAAAAAAAAAAAAACCTTAAAAAAAAAAAAAGAGAAGTGGCAGATCCTTGCGGTGAATGACATACAGGGGGGTGAGGAAAGCCTCGGATGCCTACTGAGTTTCCAGCTTGAGCAGCTACGCGAACCGCGGATCCCTTTACCCAGGCGGAGACCAAGCACCAATTGAGGGCGTAAATCAAAAGCTCAGCTCGATCCCTTTTAGGTCTGATACAACTTTGAGGCATCCAAGTGGAGAGGCCAAGCAGGCAATGGAGTAACCAGGTATGAAGCTCGGCAAGGAGGGCAGAACTAGAGATATTATTAACCCGAGAAAGCCGGCAGGGAGGAAGGTACTTCGCTTACGGGAATGCGGAGCTCACCCAGCCCAGGAAGAGGTGAGCTCACGCCCCACCGAAAAGGGTGCAAGAGCCTGGCAGGAATCCTAAGAGCAGAGATCGGAAAACAGACAGAAAAAGGACGGCGGGGTATAACGGGGTCGTCATGACGTGTGCCGGGCTGGGCTGTGCCTGTTTCAATCCCTGTCTAGGGCAGCCCGGGTGGCTCAGCGGTTTAGCGCCACCTTCAGCCCGGGGGTGATCCTGGGGACCCGGGATCGAGTCCCACGTCGGGCTCCCTGCATGGAGCCTGCTTCTCCCTCTGCCTGTGTCTGTGCTGCTCGCTCTCTCTCATAAACAAATTCAAAAAATAAAAAATCCCAGGACCGGGACGCGGGGAGGCCGGCACCGGCGGTTTCTCCTCCCCGCAGCAGGGCCCGCCCAGCAGGCCCCGCCCCCCGGCCCCGCCAGGCGCTCCAATCGCTTGTAGAGATCATCGCTGGAGCCAGGCGGTTGTGTCGATCTCCGCTCCAACTGGAGACGGGGTCCAAGCCATGGCGGAGAAGGCTCAAAAGAGGTGAGTCCGCTGTTTGAGAAAAGCCTATTTCTCTGCTCCCCAGGAGTCGAAAATCTGCTCCTGGTCGCCCGTGGTAGGGATTGTCTCATCCGGGGTGCTCGGCCTGGATGGTTCCTCACAGCCCAGACCTGGCGGCCGCTGAGGAAGGAGACGACGAGGTGGCCGTCAGGGAGGATGGGGAGCGGATGCGGCTTTGGGGCCGGGACGGCTTTTGTCCCTCGATCCCGCCGCCACGCGCCTGCGCGGAAAGGGTCTCCAGGGTCTCCGGGGGCGCTGCGCAGGGAGTGTGTGGCCGCCCACTGCCCCGGGACACAGGCCCCCGCGCCCCCACCCCCTGTGACCACTGCGGCTGTCCGGCCGTCCCGCCGGCTTCCCGTCCGCCCGGGAAGTGCTGGCCACGCCCCAGGCCCCTCCCGCGGCCCGCGGCCCGCGGCCCGCTCGCCCGGGGTTAGCGCCTTTGTAGCCCCCGAGGATTGGTGGCGGCCCCCCCAGCCGTCTACGCCGCCGGGGACCGGTGGTGGGAGGGAACCGGGTTGGAGAGAAATGCCGACGCTCGCGCTTTGGGAAGGCGGCCGCGTTGAGCACCCTCTGCGGGCTCCTCTTTGAACTTGGAAAACCGCCCAAGCTCTTGGTTGTATCGTAAGGAATTAAAATTGAGGGCTTTCTTCTACGGAGGCAGGCAGCCGTAATCTTTTTTCACCAGCGAGAGAGGACCAGATCTCCTGTGAAAATCGTGTGCAGGTTGAGCCCCAGCCTTCGGCCCGGGGCGGGATCCTGGGGTCCCTGCAGGGAGCCTGCTTCTCCCTCTGCCTGTGTCTCGGCCTCTTTCTGTGTCTCTCATGAATAAATAAAATATTTCTTAAAAAGAAGGTCGTGTTTAGTGTATAGTAATGGAGAGGATATTGTTGGCTTGTTCGTCTCATGGCCTTTTCCTCCCACTGCCTGAGCCCCCAGCCTCACCACCCTGGGGTGCAGTGGAGTCCGCACGGGGATGTTTGGACCTCGTTTTGGTTGGTCTCGTGGTGAATTATTTTCTGCATCAGGGAGAAGTGTGTTGATGAGGACACAAACTCTGCCTGAGGTCATCTCCCTGAGGCATGACACTGGACAGGGGGACATCTGGGATTGCTCCCCTCGCCTGTCCAGGACAAGTTAAATGTTCCTTAATGCTCTTTTCATAAATAGTCACGGCGGGGGGGGGGGGGACGCCTGGGTGGCTCAGCGGTTGAGCGTCTGCCTTTGGCTCAGGGCGTGATCCCGGGGTCCCGGGGTCGAGTCCTGCACCAGGCTCTCCGTGGGAGCCTGCTTCGGCCCCCTGCCTCAGCCTCTCTCTCTGTGTCTCTCATGAATAAATAAAATCCTTAAAAAAAATCATAGAGGGAGACTATGGAAATGGAAACCTGGAAATAAGGCCTAAGACAAGAGGTATTTTATAAAGCCTAATTTCTCTGACCAGGGCCTAATAAAATTGCATTGTTTTGACGCACAAACTCACTCCAAATGAAAAGCATCAGAGGAATAGCATTTACAGATGGTGATGTATTCAAGGACAGCCTTATTCAGCTCTCACAGGAAAACTACCCAACACCTCAGGATGTTTCCAGGAAACTTTCAGCTAGCAGAAGAAGACTTGTTTGGTGTTAGGATAATGATGCCCCAGGGATGAACTGCTTCAGGAAATTTCTAGTCTCTGGGCTTCAGTTGCCTCATCTGTAAGATGAGACGGTTGGACTATGTTCTGCTTTTCTCAAGTTTTTCATGTAGTTGGTAGAAAGATTATATATTTTTTTTTCTGTGACTTCAGAGTGGAACACATAACTCAGATTCATCATTTCTAGAATTTCATTAATTTGTCTACCTTGTAGAAAGTCAGTGTATGTCAAAATGATGGAAACAGGTGTAGCTGTGTCTAATGTCAAATATTTCTTCAAGAAAGACTCAGATTACTAGTTTTTGTTTGATATATGTATATATACTTTTTTTTTTTTAAGGTTTATTTATTTATGATAGAGAGAGAGGCAGAGACACAGGAGGAGGGAGAAGCAGGCTCCATGAGCCCGACGTGGGACTTGATCCCGGGACTGCAGGATCGCGCCCTGGGCCAAAGGCAGGCGCTAAACCGCTGAGCCATCCAGGGATCCCCCATGTATATATACTTTTTAAAAAATATTTTATTTACTTATTTGAGAGAGAAAATGAGCAGGGGGAGGGGCAAGGAGAAGCAGACTCCCTGCTGAGCTGGGATCCCAGCTGGTTAACTGGCTGAGCCACCCAGCCACCTGATAAAAAGCCATCTTTTTACTTAGAACTTTAAAAATACTTTGTAGGAAGGTTTGTCCACTGAAATTTGTAGAAGAAAAAATTGTGTATGTCTCCTTTTTTCAGTTTTCCCTATTAGTAGGTACAATAGTGTGATTTTCTATTTTTTTTTTTTATGATTTTATTTATTTATTCACGAGAGACACAGAGGCAGAGGGAGAAGCAGACTCCCTGTGGGGAACCTGACTCAGGACTCTTCCCAGGACCCCGGGATCAGGGATCATGACCTGAGCCAAAGGCAGACACCCAACCACTGAGCCACCCAGGTGCCCCAAATTGGTGTGATTTAAGAATAATAAATTTGGTGTTACTTTGCACTTGTATAAGGGAGTATTTAGGGGGGTTCTAGAATGTAAATGATGGAGAGACATATTAAAGAGTTTGTACCCTGACTCTCAGAGCTATATTTCTGGCTGGATAGATAGCTCTAGTTTGAACATAGTTTTCGCTTAGAATTCTATAGGGATTGTTTTCTGGTCTTCTAGCCTCCAGTACTGGCATTCAGGACGCTGATGCTGTTCTGATGATTTTAACTCCTCTGTGAGATTTTTTTTTTTCTGTGAGTTTTTTTTATTTTTGTTTTTGGTCTTTTGTTCTAAAAACTGTAAGGATCTTTTCCATAGCATTCAGAAATTTCAAGATGATGTTATTTGGCATGGGTCCTTTGCATTCACATCCTTTTAGAGTTGAGATTAATATCCTTTATTTGTGGGAAATTTTCTTGTATTATTCTTTAACAGTTTTTTTCTGCAAATTCTTTTCTCCTTTTGAGATTTTTTTTTAAAATTTATTTTTTTGAGCGAAAAAGCAAGAGCAGGGGGAGGAAGAGAGGGAGAGAGAGAGAAGTAGATTCCTTGATGAGCAAGGAGTCCAATGCAACACAATGTAGGGCCCTATCCTAGGACCCATGAGAGCATCACCTGAGCTAAAACCAAGAGTTGGATGCTCAACTGACTGTGCCACCCAGGCACCCCTTAAAATTTCTTTTATTCGGATTTTATGCCTCATATATTGCTTCTCTAATTTTCTCATTTTTTTCTGTACACTTTTTTTTTTTTCACTTTGTTCTATTTTCTGAAAGAGCTCTTTTTTTTAACCTCACTCCTACGATTTCAAATTTTGGTCATGTTTTTAATCTCTAGAAGTTCTTTCTTAGACTTCCTTTTTCATAGACTTCTATCTGGCTTTATGCAGCGGTATCTCTTATTTCTCTGAATTATAAGGTGGGGTTTTTTTTTTTTTAAGTTTTCTTTTACTATCTGAATTGTCTGTGTTTCCTCAGACTATTTCTTTCCTCTTCTTGCTTTTTTCCTTTTTTACTTGGAGGCTTTCCTGGTATATCTGATAATCTTTGGCTGTCTGTCCATTATTAAGAATGAGAACTAAGCAACTGGAAGCTCCAGGTATGTGCATTAGGCTTACTTCTGATATGCTTTAGGGTGAAGTCAGGCAGGAAGTTGAACTTTTCATTGAAGAAATGTTGTCTGATAGTTTCTCTGGAAAAGAATCCCCATCTATTCCCCTTGTTGCCTAAATTCTGTATGAGGGTCAGCAAGGCAAACGGGAAGGGAAGCTGGTGGGCTTACTCTTGCTCTGCCTTTCATCATTACCTACCTCTGGGCCTGATTTCTTGAATGCAGTGCCTCAGAGAGGAGCAAACTTATTCTATAAAAAGATAGTTTTATCTTTTTTTTATAGTTAAGGAATTATATAGTATTCCAGTAAATTGATGATTATATTTTATTTTATTAGCCTTCCCCTTTTATGGTTTCATTATTCTAAATAACATTGCCAGTTTGTGCATATATTTTCTTCCTATTGAATTCTTGATGCTGGAACCCCAGAAATAGATTTCTAGGTCAAACCTTGTGATTGTGTTGATGATTCCTGGTTCATATTGGTACAGTATTCTCCAATAAATGCCCTGATACCGTCAACAAAAGTGTCCCAGGTGTCTCACTTAAATTATAGGTACATCATCATTTGATAGCCAGCATAACCAAAACACTTCATTACCAAAAATACTTCATTACCCTGAACAAACTAATGTAAAAAATGGATCTAAATATGGTTATATTGAATATCCCAAGTATTCGTATTTATTTCATAACATAATCTTTTATTTCTTACTTACATTGACATGTGTCCTGTTTCTGCTAGTAGAGTATCAAGCATCCTGGATATAAAATGACACAGAACAGTTGTAGACAGTAGTCTAGAAATACTATAACTAATCCCATTGTGAATATGGCATAGTAGAGTTCTATTTATGATAGATATTTATTTAAAGACTGGAAGTAATGAGAAGTGTTACTAGTGAATAATGATTTTATCCTTTATTAAAAAGGATTGTTGCTGAAGCCATGGGAACAATGTTTTAAACTTAGAACAAAAAAACTAGTCTTGGGGGACCTGGGTGTTGCAGTGGGTTAAGCATCCAGCTCTTGATTTTCGCTCAGGTTGTGCTCCCAGGGTTGTGAGATCAAGCCCTGCATCAGGGTCAAGGACTCAAATGCAGAATCTGCTTTTGAGATTCTCTCTCTCCCTCTACCCCTCCCACTCGTGCCCCCACCCCAAATAATTAAATAAATCTTTTTAAAAAAACTGGTCTTAATGGGGAACTAAGAAGTCTAAAATTCACTGAATGATACTTAAGAGTTGCAAGAGAGTATTTTTAGGTAAAATAAAGTAGGAGAGGGCATATAGGGAGTCTGATTTGAGGTAGATTTTTTTTAAAGAGATAGGAATAAAATTTCACCTTGATTATGGAAATGCATCCAGGACCTCCTTGGCCCTTGGTGTTAAGAAAATGTTATCACACTCTTTTTTGTCTTGTTTATTTATTTATATATTGAATAGGCAGTGCATTTGTGAGATTCAGAATGCAAACAGTTAAAAAATGGGCAGGTAATGAAAAAAGTTTTCTCCCTACCATTATGTCCCTACTATACAGCTCCTCTCTATGAATATTGAATAATGAATATTACTAGTACCTTATATATTCCTCCAGGGAGAGTTTGGAAATAGTCAAGCAAATACAAATATCTAGTGCTTAAATACTTTGTAAGAATGGCAAGCATGTCCTTTTTACCAAAATAGCATGTCCAATTTACCTATTTACTAAAGTTCATGTTACATATAATGAAAATTTGCATTCATTTAGGAAGACAAATTTAAAAACATGAACCTGTCTAAAATAAAAATTTGGGGGGAAAAAAACCCTGGCAATAACAATTATTTTTATCAAAGAAATGTCCAAAAAAGACATGAAAAACAAATAGAACGTACTATTAACATTTTTATACTATTTACTATAAGTTAAAAATTAGTATTTTCATACATGAATATTTGTAGAACTTAAAAAATAATATTAGTATGAGTGAACCATTACACTGTATATTTCTGGTTCTTACTGGTTGAAAAACATATGCTAAAATAAGGCAAGTTTTTAGAAAATTTATAAACCAAAGCGTTAACATTTTGGTCAAGAAACTTTCAACTGGGGATCCCTGGGTGGCGCAGCGGTTTGGCGCCTGCCTTTGGCCCAGGGCGCGATCCTGGAGACCCGGGATCGAGTCCCACGTCGGGCTCCCGGTGCATGGAGCCTGCTTCTCCCTCTGCCTGTGTCTCTGCCTCTCTCTCTCTCATTCTATGTGACTATCATAAATAAATAAATAAATAAAAAATTAAAAAAAAGAAACTTTCAACTGTTTTATACACCAGATTTTAATAATTTATTTAAAATGCATTTATGGCTTAGATAGTTTGATAAGTTTTGTTGATCTTATGGAGCTAGAACAGGTTAAGTATGTTAAACATCATACTGGGAGTCTTAGCCAGGGCAGTAAGGCAAGAAATGGAAATAATATGCATACAGATTGGAAAAGAAGAAATAAAACTGCCCCTATTCACAGATAACAAAATTGTTTATGTTAGAAATCCCAGAGAATCTTCTTGAACTGAACTAAAACAAGGCTTTAAGAAACAAGGTCAGTATACAAAAATTATTGTGTAATATCTTTCTTTCATTTTTTTTTTTTCTAAGTAGGCTCTAAGCATGGAGCCCAGTGTGGGGCTTGAACTCACAGCCCTGAGATCAAGACCTGAGCTGAAATCAAGAATCCCATGCTTAACCAACTGAGCCACTCAGGTGTCCCCAGACTTACCGTATTTCTGTATATTTGTGGTGAATAACTAAAAATCAAAATTTTGAAAAATCCAAATAGTATTAAAAGTCAAAATATCTAAAATTATATTGCTGTTATTTTATAGAACTGGGTGCATATTTAACACCATGAATAATATCATTACTACTAAGAAAAATACTTAATGAGAAGAACTTACCAAATGATTATCAATTTAATGGGGAATTTGTTTGGCAGAGTTTCATGTCAGCTCATGGCTCAGCTGAGGCAGCAGTTAGCTAGATTCAGCTGTGTCAAACAGGATGTCACAGAATGTCAAAAAGCATCAATACATGATTTGGAAGTAAGTAATTTGGGGACAGTTTGCACTCCAATTTATATCCCTTGACAAGCAGTTTTATAATACATAGAGAATAAGTAGAAATCTCTATAAATTATGAATTTCTATGTTGATTTCTGTATTAATATAACCTTGCTGATTGTTAAATATTTTGAATGTACATTCTTTTTCTTCCTTTTTACAAAAATAACGGTGTATTATAAAACTATTTTCTGGCTTTGACTTTTTTTTGACTTAATATAGCTTGGAAATCATTCCAAATATTTACATAAAAGGTTATTCTTTCTTTTTTATGAATGTTTATTACTTTACATGAAGGATTGTTCTTTATTTTTTATGACTGTGTATTAGACTGTGGTGCGCCGTAGTTTATTAACCAGTCCCTTACTGATGGATTGTTAGATTGTATTGAGCTTTTTCCTATTTGGAAACAATACTGGTGTTAAAAGAATCCAAATCCTCTTTTCTCAAGCATTTTATTTTTGAGAAGATTTATTTATTTATTTTAGAAAGAGTATACACGGGAGAGGGCAAGGGCAGAGGGAGAGACAGAATTTCAAGCCAACTCCCTGCTGAGCACAGAGGCTGACTAGGGGCTTAATCCCATGACCCCGAGATCATGACCTGAGCATATATTAAGAGTTGGTCACTTAAACTAAGCTACCTAGGCACTGCTTCAAGCATTTTAAAAAGGTATCATTATTGATTTTAGCCTGATGGATAGTATGCCTCCTGAGAATTTTGTAGTATATTAAATACCTTATTCTCTTAGGTGTTTTTTTTTTTTTTTTTTTTTAACTTGTGAGAAACAGAAAGGCAAAGATATAGGCAGAGGGAGAAGCAGGCTCCCCATGGGGAGCCCTATGTGTGACTCCATCCCAGGACCCCAGGACCATGCCCTGAGCTAAAGACCTGAGCTAAAGACTCAACCACTGAGCCACCCAGGTGTCCCTCTCTTAGGTTTTTTTTTAATCCATTTTTAAACCTTTTTTCTTATTGTAGTGTCAAGATAGCTTCTATAACAATGTTTTAAAGACTTAACCTGTGGTAAAGTTACTTTTTTCTTTCTACAGTGTGAAGATTGCTCCTGGAGCAGTTGTGTGTGTAGAAAGTGAAATTCGAGGTGATGTAACCATAGGTAAGAAAATAGTTTATTAGTGTTGTTTCTCAAAAATTGATGTAATTTAATTTATTGTGATGCTTTACAATTGTTAGGTATTATATATTTGTCTGTTTCACTAATGTCCTAATTTTATTGACAAAATAATGTATTTCTCCTGTAAGTGTTTAATATTTCTAAAAGAATTGTGTGATGGATACATTTCTAAGATTTTATTTTTAAGCAATCTACTACACCCAATATGGGGCTCAAACTCAAAACCCTGAGGTCAAGAGTCCCATGCTCCACCAACTGAACCAGCCAGGCACCCTGATCACTCTATATTTAAACTCCTATCTGAAAAAAATAAAAATAAAAAATAAACTATCTGATAAGCTAATGAGACAATAAAGCCATTCATTTACTTGAGAAACATCAATTGTGTACCTACTATGTGACAGGCACTGTGCTAACACTAGGAACATAGCAGTGGACACAGCAGACAAAGGTACTGCCTTCGTGGAGCTCATATACTACTTGGTAGTTATTAGGAGTGTGGACCATGGAGTCTGACAGACCTGGATTAGCATCCTTGCTCTTTACTTGCTGATTTGCCTCAGCTGTACTACTTAACCTCACCAACTTTCATTTTTTCCCCATCTGTGTGTAATTGTATGTATTAGAATTGGTGCAGCTGCATATAGTATTAGCTTAAACATGCAAAAGTTTATTTTCTTATATAAATAAGGATAGAGGTAGGCAATTCAGGGCTGGTCAGTTGATTGTCCAGGAGCTCCAGCCTTGTAGGCCAGGATGCGATAGCTAAAGTGCCAAGAGTGATCTTGGATAAGAAAGGGGAAGAGTGGAGACAAAAGGGTGTACCTCCCTGTTGAGTCAGCTTCCTTTAAATAGTCTTCCTGAAAGCTCCACACAATCTCTCTTTGTATGTCTGACGCCTTGGACTTAGTGTCATGGACACATCTAGCTTCAGGGAAGGCTGGGAGGTCATAGTCTGAACTGGGCGCATTGCTGCCCCCAGCCAGTAGGGTTCTGAAGGGGTTTTTGAAGGTTTCAATGAGAGAATATTTACGAAAGTCATTGACCAAATCCTAACACCAGCTAATTGGCACTGTTAAATCTTAACAGAGTGTAGCCTGGTTAGAGGTGAGATCCAACATTGAAATCAAATGAACCATTGAACCTGTGGCACCTTGCTTATATGGACATGATTCAGTTTTCCCAAACTTAACATTTTAGCCACTTGTTCTTTCTTTTATGTATGTTTTCATTGCATATCGTGCCCTTGTAGCTTTACTAATGTGAGTCTATCCTTACTAGCAGCTGCATGTTACCAGTGTAGAGCTTTTGGTGAATTAAGTACACTTTCAGAGAGAAAATATGCCCTGTTCAATATACTAACAGTATCTTTAATAGGAAAAAAAATTGTGAATTTTATTAAGTCCAGGCCTTTAGCCAGTTAGGCATCATGTCTTAGAAAACAAGTGAAAATTGTACCTGTCTTATGGAACATTATTACGAATTTGCCAGGTTGGATTTATACTTAAATTTTAGACAGAATTTCAAAGTTTAGAAGATGACTCAATTTCTGTTCAGTCTGTGCTCTCTATTAGTTCCTAAACCACTTGCAAACTTTTTATGAGAAGAAATCATGATGGCCACATGTTTATCAGAGTGCTGTTCTACATTATTCTTAATCTAATATTTTTATGGTTTCATCATGATTCAAGGAATAACCCTCTCATTAACTCAAAGGTATTCTATAACTAGAAGGAAAGTAAGACTAAAATAGTATAGCTAATTACACAGATTTTCCCTTTCATTTGTACTTCTTCCCTGTTTTAAACTATATTCTACCTACTATATAATAGATACATAGAGAGTATAGATATCTCTGCTGGCATAAATGTACACAAAGGTGTATATACATGTTTGTGTGTATGTGTATTTCAGATTTGGAAAAAAAACTCCTGTTATTTGTAGAAGCTTATATAGAATAGCAGTAAAGGCTTTATCATGAAAAAGAAAGGTGGGCCGCTGGCCACTGCATAGGATTGGGGCATGAGGGTATCAGGAGTCAGCATTCACTTTATTGTTTTCCTGCTGCCTTCCGCTACTTTGTGCTCCTCTCCTTTCTTTATCCTGATTATCAACTGACCTTCCCTAAATGTTGAGCTTTTATAAGGAAACAGTGTTTAGGGATCCCTGGGTGGCGCAGCGGTTTAGTGCCTGCCTTTGGCCCAGGGCGCGATCCTGGAGAACCGGGATCGAGTCCCACGTCGGGCTCCTGGTGCATGGAGCCTGCTTCTCTCTCTGCCTCTCTCTCTCTCTCTGTGTATGACTATCATAAAGAAAGAAAGAAAGAAAGAAAGAAAGAAAGAAAGAAAGAAAGAAAGAAAGAAAGAAAGAAAGAAAGAGTGTTTAAATAGAACTTTCCATATAGGTTTTTCCCCTCGCTGATAGTACACAATTCTATGGTTAAAATGTAAAATGACAGTTCAACATAGATTTTTTCAGTGAAAGATTATAGCATAAGTCATAATTTTTTAACTGGGTCACGTAGCAGTAAACTTAACTGTAGTTGAATTGATGGATTTTTCAGGATGTTATGCATAACTTTCCATCCCCTCGTTGGTTATACTCTTAACAAATTATTCCATTCTGAAATATTCAGAAGGAAAGTAATTTTTTCCTTCTCTATGTTTCAGTGGTGTAATAGAACTTTAAACCTGATCTTGTGTTCCCCTTGAAAATCAGGTATTCGGTTTATCAAAGAAAAGAGTCTGAAGCTTTGAAGTATTGTCCTTAAGCAGAAACCCTATGACTTGAGGCTCTGCTGGAGCCTGACCCCTTTCATTAGAGGCTGCTAGGAAACCGACCTTGGGAAAAATAACAGCTCTCTTGTTAATTACAGTGTGGATAAACAAGGTTTCTTAGTATCAAGCCTGCTTTTAATTAGGCTGCCTTGCTTCTTGGGCCATGCATTATTTCCTTAAATTTTGCTTTTAAACATTTCAGAAAGTTATTCTGTAGTCCTATTATGGGGTGATAGCCTCCTGGTCTTAGGTCAGGGCTTCATTGGGCCATTGTAGTAGGAAGGCCAAACCCCACACAGTGGTAAAACTTTGAAATGGATGCCCTTCATCCACTTATTCTGTCTTTCCATCAGAGCTTTTAATTTTAAAAAATTTTTTAAAGATTTTATTTATTCTTGAGAGACAGAGGAAGAGACACAGGCAGAGGGAGAAGCAGGCTCCATGCAGGTAGCCTGATGTGGGACTCGATCCTGGGTCTCCAGGATCAGGCCCTGGGCTGAAGGCATGTGCTAAACCGCTGAGCCACCCTGGCTGCCCCATCAGAGTTTTTAATGCAGATCAAAAGCTTCCGTTTACCATGGAAATCTTTTTAAATAAGGCAGAACAGTGGCTTTGACTTGAAATTCATCACATGTAAAGCAGTTCTTACAGGTACTTCAATTTACAGGTCAAAAGAATTGTTTTAATTTTCAAGAGAAAAAGCTTGTGTCTTTTTGAACTATTTATTGACATATGAAAATGTGCACAAAGATTGCTTTCTGTGGCAAAGATAGACAGGAAAAATGTCCTTTACCAAATGAGGGGAAGGGAAATTTGATGCAAGGAATGCCTTTTTGGCTGTGTTACATCAAGCCCAGCCAACCATTTAAAAAAATAATCCATCAGCCGGTAAGGCAACTCCAACTCTAGACACATTTATCCAAACAAGGAGATAAGCCAAATAGGGTTTCAGCACATTTGGTAAGAAAATATACAAACTACCCTGCCAGCGATAGCTCCAAGGAAATTCACAACAACCTTTAAAAAAAAAATCTTTCCATGGTGACAGATTTTTATTTTTAAAGCATTTTAACCTCAAGACCCTTAAACTTGGTTTGAAATCAGACCCATTCTAGGTAAAAGTGCTTCTTGCATGTAGAAGAGTGTGGAGCAATCTGTGTCCACACTTTAGTCTTCTGCTGCTGCTGCTGCTGCTGCTGCTGCTGCTGCTGCTGCCGCCCAGGACTTGGAATAGCACTTGAATTCCTGGGCTCTCTGGTGCCAGCCTCCCGCACAAAACCATGCAGAGGTGAAGCCCGCTGTGCGGACCACACACCTGCATCAGCGCATCCCCTTAACAAGCTCTCCAAACCAAAATCTTAGCGGTCACATGCTGAAATACATGTATACTGACTCCTCTCGTCTCTGCCCCAAGACCTACAAGAGGTTTATGGGACTGTTCAGTTTATCATCACCCATGATTTTTGTCGTTCCTTCACAATTCAAAGTTGATACTCACCTTTTAACTTAATTACTTCAGCCCCGAAACACTGGGACTTGTAGTTTGGCAGTGCTGCCACCAGGTGGCAGTGGTGTCGTAAGAACAGGTCTCCTGTAAGCTGGTGATCTTGCTTTGTAACTCAGGGCCCTCAGATTTATAACCAGTTTTCCAGTCATTCTCTAGCTAACTTAATAAGATAAAAATGATAATAACAGTACTAAAGTGCAGTGCCTGGTTAAAATAGCTCAGATATTATGTTTAAAAATTGTATAAGATGTGGGGTTTGGGTTAATTTTTTAAAATTTGTGTTTGTATAATTCACATTTATTATATCATTTCTGAAAGGGAAAAACGAAAATATCAATTATTTTTAAAGGAACTTCATAGAAACTTTATTTACTTAAAGATTTTATTTATTTATTAATAAGAGACAGAGAGAGAGAGCGAGAGAGAGAGCGCATGGCAGAGACACAGGCAGAGGGAGCAGCAGGTTCCATTCAGGGAGCCTGACATGGGACTTGATATCCCAGGTCTCCAGGATCAGGCCCTGGGACGAAGGTGGAGCTATTCCGCTGACCAGCCGGACTGCCCTATTTATTTATTCATGAAAGACACAGGCAGTCACACACAGGCGGAGGGAGCCTAATGCTGGACTTGATCTGGGGATTCCAGGATCACACCCTGACCTGAAGGCAGATGCCCAACCGCTGAGGCACCTGGGCATCCCTTCAGAGGAACTTTTTTTTTTTTTTCCTTCAGATGAACTTTTAAAGAAAGACATGTTTTAGTGATGACCTTGTCAATACTAGTCCATTCTCAGGTAGCTTCTTGCAAGTCTGCTTGTCAAAAGCTACAGTTTGAGGACCAGCAGAATATCTAGTGCCTCTAGCTTCTTATCTAGCAGTGGCAAAGGATCTGCTTTCTATCACAGCATACTAATCTCTTCCTCGTCTAAGATTTTAATACGAGTATGGAAAATACTTTTATTAATTTCTTTTTTTTTTAAGATTTAATTTATTTATTCATGAGAGAGGCAGAGATACAGGCAGAGGGAGAAGCAGGCTGCATGCAGGGACTCTGGGATCATGCCCTGAGCCAAAGGCAGATGCTCAACTGCTGAGCCACCCAGGCATCTCTATTAATTTATTTTACTATTTTACAGTCATATGTACATTTCCCCCTGCTGGTTGAAAGGAGTTACCACCCTAGAAACCTGAGTAGAGGAGTAAAGTATACTCTTTTTTCTGTTTCTCAGACCAGAAGGAGTTGTTTTGCTTATTATGATAGTTATACAAATAGCTTCTGATGTCAGATAGTGACAAACCTCCCAGTTGTAACAACTATGGGCCAGACCCTGTGATCTCCCTTTCAGACATTATTTTGTATCATCCTTACTTCAACACAATGAAGTAGGTTGTTCTAAATCAAATCTTTTTTGTAGGTGAAAGAACAAGTATTTGAGAGATTAAGCATATAGCTTTTAAGTGGTAGAGGCCAGAGTCTGGACTTTCTAGATAAGGGGTGGGGTGCTGGCAGGGGCTTTAATTATAAAGAACCTAACATTGAATGATTTGTCTCTTTTATCATAGAACATTTTAAAGTAAAATGCAAATCTGGTATTGTGCAAACTGTGGGTTTAAATTGGTTCACACAGCTGGAAGACCTATAAAAAAATATCTCATTTCAAAGGAATCCAGTGTTTGTTTCAATATTGTTTAGCACCTCTCCCCCAAACATGGTAACATCTAAATGCCCATCATTAAGGGCTTGGCTGAATAAATTATGGTGTGTTAATATGATATGAAGTCCTATTCAGCCATTGAAAAGAATAGCTAGCTAAATGTACTTATATGGAAAAATGACCATGACTTTTCAGGTGAATAAAAGTAAATTGCAAAATAGTAAGTACTATTCCTTGATTAAAAAAAAAAAAAAACTATGTGCTTATAGTTCATATTTTCCACCTTCAAATTATTTTATTTTTTAACTTTATGATGAAATGTATTTTATGTATAGTGATGTTTACAGGTCTTAAGTATAGAGTAGAACTTAAGCCTGGAATAATATACCCCAAACTTTTTAAGAATAGTTACCTCTAGGGAATAGGATTAGCAAAAAGAAAGGATCTTCCGCTTTTTGCTTTGTTTGAATTTTTATAATGGGCACGTATTACTTTCATAAATGTATTTTTTAACAAAGAAAAAAAGGTACACCTATTCCCAATCATGGGCCACCTGAGAACCTTCCCAGAGATCCGGGAGATCCCATCTTCCATCCTGAATGGGAGAAGCTGCCAGAGAAATTTTACTTTCGCAGCTGAGGATTTGGGGAGCCAGAGGTGACAGAAATAACAAAGGCACTCTCATGTTATTTCTTATCAGACTGTGCGGTCCTTTGACTGTGCATCCTGTCTTGGGCCCCACCCTCCTTATCAGTCCTCAGCTCTTCATTGTTAGGGGAAAAACAAAGCTGCACAGAGGTTCCTTAACAATTCTCTAGGCCCCAGAACACCTCCTTATTTATTTTAATACATCTATGTGAGTAGGTTAAATATTTCCAGTTTTCAAGATAAAAAAAACAAAATGAAGATATGCAAGCTCAAAAGGGCAAAAGTAACAGGTATTCCATTTTGCTTTCCTGTAATGTATATAGCCCTGCATCTTGCCTGTCAAAAGCAGATAATGATTATTTGATAAATTAATTTACACAGTCGAATATTGGGTTACATGGACAGTGTCATCTTTCTGACTGCCTCTCTACCTTCTGTCAACACTGCTCTCTTCCTTTCAGTCAGTTACCTCATGTCTGCTTGTTTACCAATAAAAATAGCCTCGGCCTTGGGGTGGTTGGGGCTGGGGCTTCAGGGAGTGGTGAAAGTGAGGGTATATTTTCTCACAAGTGGTTTCATTATCACGCAAGCACTGGGCCCTCAGGAAATGAAGAACCAGGGGAGGGAATGTGTCAGCACTCCAGAATCCTATCCCTGTTAAAGCAGTCAGTGCCTCTCCTCTGCTGTGATCTCGAAGTGGATGTGCTGAGACTAAGACCTCTTCATGCCCCCTTCAATTTGAGGAAGAACACGTTGCCTCAGCTAGCCTATTTCAGAGTCTTAGGACTCCAGTAATCACATTTGACTCCTTGCACTGCCTCCTTGTAACCTTTTCCAACCTTTACCTGGTTAAAATCATGTCTTCCACCAGACACAGCAGAAGCTCTGCCTCCTTCCAGGGGTGGGGCTGTAGGGATGGTGACAACGTAACAAAGGTAAGGTTTCCATGTTACCTGTCCCCCCCTTCCACCTGTGTTTCCTCTCAGCCACTTAATAAAAATTCTAACTCTAGTGCACCAGCGTAAGACAGTGCTCCTGCTCCGTGGCCCACTAGCATGAGAAAGCACCAGCATTGTAAGCAGAGAGCCTCACTTTTATAGGAAAAGCAAAACAAGGAAAGGAACTGATTTTTATTGCCAAAAATGTGGCAAAATACCCTGTCCACGAACATTATCTCACCTAATCCTTATAACGACTCAGGGAGACTGGTATCCTCACACCCCCATTTCACTGCCGAGATAGCAAAGGCTTCCAAATAGCCGGTAAGCCAGGGCTGTCGGCTCCAAGGCCTGTGCTGTCTCCACTCACCTTGGCTTGAGATTTGGCACCAACTACTATTGATAATAGCTGAGGAGATAACGTTTGCAAAGTGCCTAGTGTGGTGCCTGGCACATACTTTAGGAAATGTTCCTCCCAATAGCCTCGGCACCCCCCCCACCCCCACCCCCCCACCCCCCGTCACCTTCTCCCCTCCAATTGGAAGCATTGGAAGCATAGCCTCCCGGTAATTTCGTTTCATCATCTTTTTAACAGGACCTAGGACGGTAATACACCCTAAAGCACGAATTATTGCAGAAGCCGGGCCGATAGTGATTGGTGAGGGTAACCTCATAGAAGAACAGGCACTTATCATAAATGCGTGAGTAAGACCCTTACAGACACTCTGAACAAAGTACCACAGATTTTTTTTTTTAATTAATTTCAGCTATCTGTAGGAATGTTTTACAGCAGACATCTGGCAAGTCCACTATTTTAAAACTAGAGAAACATTAAGAATCTTTTCAACACAGGTAATTCGTAAATGAGGAAACCAGAGGCCAAATGGGTGGTGAAGAGACTTGTCCGAGGTGAGAGAACTCATTGGTGGCTGACTAGAGTCTCCCCCTCTTGGTCTGATAACCTCCCCCTTACATGTCACTACCTCTTCTGTGCCTGAAGCAAACATTTCCTGCCTCCAGCGACCAAGTACTGTGCTGACCACCTTGAAGAGAGTCTCTTGATTGGATTTCTCAGTTCTGGCTGAAATGTTATTTCTTGTACCCAGACACATGGATTTAATGAACTCTGATGTACTTTTTCATATGCCTTGTGGGGGGTAAGACTCAGAATTCTGTTTGAAAATTTGGGGGTTCTAGAGGCAATTTTTAACTTTAAAGATTAAAAAAATAATAAAATGTTAAACATGTACATGATTTTAGTGAACGAGACTCTAATACCTGTGAAGTTTTCTTAAGCATTTGTAAAGCTTTCTAGATAAAATTTTGGCAGGAAATTCAAGCTTATACCTAATTTATAGCAACAATGTATGGAATTTGTAAGAAAGACCTTGGGAAAATATTTAACTGTGATAAAGAGATTGATTTGTCTTAATGCTTACTTAGAATTTGGGAGTTTCTTACTATATTAAGCAGTTTCTTTTTAAAATTCATTTTGGCACCTTTAGTGTAAGTCAGTTGACAATAGCCATATTCTGTAGTAACTCAACTGTCAGAGATAAAGCTCCATTTAAAAAATGGCTTCCTCTTAGACCGCAAACATTTTATGTTCCAAGTATTTCAAACTACCTAACAGCATAAAATAATTATTTTATGTGAATATCTGTTTGCTTTTCACAATGTCAAGTGATTATTTAGAATGGAAATTTTTCAAGCTGGGCATGATTTTGATTACAATTTAAGAAGCTAAAAATGATAACCGGCAACATGTTTACCTTGTCCTGGAAAAGGCCCTCTGGACTTTGAGCTTTAAAAACAAGCAAAGGAAAGTTTGTCTTTGACTCTTTAGGTATCTGCCTATGGCTTCTTTACATTTCAGTAGTTCTTTTTCAACTCAAAATCAATTCTTCAGCATAAAGGATAAACAATTCACTTGGACTAAGAAATTACTTATATAGTTACACATTTTAAGCTTGATGGAGGTAAACTGAAAGAATGAACCCAAATTCTAAAACAAGAGAAGTGTTTATTGCATTATTGACTTCAATGATTTGTCTCTTCTTTTTATAGTCACCCTGATAATATCACCCCTGATGCTGAGGATCCAGAACCAAAACCTATGATCATTGGCACCAATAATGTGTTTGAAGTTGGCTGTTGTATCCTTTACAATAACTTAAGTAACCTCTTCTTCACAGCTGTCTTTAGTATCCAAATCCATTCCATAGAAATTGTCATATTTTATCTATCAGTATATCAAATAGATTATAAGTATGCATTCGTGCATGTACACACATACGTATCTTTAGGTACCATCTTGCTCCTGTTGCTACAACTTATTGACAGATAGCAATGATTGAGTGGCAGTAGATATAGAAACGGGAATCCTGGCTTCTATCCTGATTAAAGAACCTTAGCTCTGTCCATTTGATTCCTGTATAGCTTAGGTTAACAGTGTGTTTATTATAGGAAAACTCGAAGGAAAAAAATCTAAATGTTTAACAATAACAAAATATTGAAATAAATTAAGCTGTAAGTACACAGAATGGACTATTAGGGCCATAAAGCAGTCATTTTAAATTATGTTTTTGAAGATTTTAATGATATGGGATAATGCTTGCTTGTGGATTTAATTGAACCAAATAAAGTGAGCTGTAAAAATTTATACAGTTTGATTCTCAGTTATATAATAGGAATTATATGTATTATATAAAGATATATCACACTGTTAACAGTGTTATCTTTAAGTGATTTGGTGATAAGTAATTTTAATTTTCTTAAAACAGTCTATGAGTAAAAATATGTTACTCATAGAATTGGGGTAAAAGATGCTCATTTCTTTAAAAAACATAGAAAGCATTTATATATACTTAGAGATACTTGTATTTAAAGATTAAAACTTTACTTTCAGGCTACCCTGAGCAAAAAGTTCTGGCCAGACTGGGTCCGCATGGCCCTTTCCATGCCTTTGTCCTCTGCCCCAGTGTCTGGTAAGGATATAGTGAATTAGTAGAGGGAAAAAAAAAAGATGAACATATTTACAGTGTTTACTTAACTCTGGCTTACAGATTCCCAAGCCATGAAAATGGGAGATAATAATGTTATTGAATCAAAAGGTAAGCTATAGTTGGAATTGTATTGTGAAAAGTGATTACCATGGGGTGCCTGGGTGGCTTAGTTGTTTAAGCGTCTGCCTTCAGCATGATCCAGAGTCCTGGGATCAAGCCCTGGATGGGGTCTCTGCTCAGTGGGGAGTCTGCTTCTCCCTTTGCCTCCCCAACCCCCCACCCCCGCTCATGCTCTTTCTCACTGTCTTGCTCTCTCTCGTTCTCTCTCAAATAAATAAATAAAATATTAAGAAAAAGGAATGTGATTACCTCCTTTCTCTTTATTGTGTCCTAGAAAATAACCTAAGGACAAACTATGGCAAAGTAGAAGGAAAGTATGGTTGAAAGTGCACTAAAATAGTTATGAGACTAATTCTTTGCTATAAGGAACTTAATAATGTGTTTAATACATTGAATTAAAAATTCAGCAGTGGATCTGACTGGGTAGCTTAGTTGGTTAAGTGTCCAACTCTTGATTTGGGTTCAGGTCATGATCTCAGGGTTGTGAAACTGAGCCCCATGTCCAGCGTGGAGCCTGCTTAAGATTCTCTCTTTCCCCTCCCTCCTTCCTTTCTTAAAAAACATTCAGCTGTGTACATTTAAATCAGAATTGAATTAAATCATAATGTTAAGGTGATAATTGATTAATATAATTGCAGAATTAAAGAAAATCTTTTTTTTGTTGTTGGTAGCAGTTTGCTTTATTTATTTATTTTAAAGATTTTATTTATGTATTGAGAGACAGAGAGAGAGGCAGAGACATAGGCAGAGGGAGAAGCAGGCTCCTTGTAGGGAGCCCGATGCAGGACTTGATCCCAGAACCCCGGGATCATGCCCTGAGCCAAAGACAGATGCTCAACCACTGAGCCACCCAGGTGTCCTGAAGTTGGTTTTGTTTAATATCAGGAATACTTTACCCCAGCCAGTCAGGAACAAATGGAAGCTACTTATCATAAATGGAGCTAGGCTGGAGGTCATATAAAGTCACCTCCACTACTAGAAAGCAGCTCCAAGAGTGTGTCCATTCCACTACAGTCCAGAAAACCTGAACGATTAGACATCTTTAGAATAATGACTTTGATGGTCCTGATTGACATGAAAGACAATGGTTGGTTTGTTGGTTTTTTTAAAGATTTTGTGTATTGGTCAGAGAGAAAGAGCACAAGCCAGGGGAGTGGGAGAGGGAGAAGCAGGCTCCCTGCTGAGCCGGGAGCCCAATATAAGACTGGATTCCAGGACCCTGGGATTATGACCTGAGCTGAAGGCAGATGCTTAACTGACTGAGCTATCCATGCACCCCTAAAATGTTTCTTGTTAATTTATTTAATGGTTTTTATTTTAATTTGGATTACCAATTATTACTGTTATTTTCTACTTATTATATACTTACTATGTGTCAAACCTATACTTAGCACTTACCTCATTTATTCCTTACAACAAACTGTAAGTAGATTGGTCTTTCCGTCTTACAGATAAACTCACTCAGAGAATTTACAGTGACTTGCCCAAGGTGACACAGCCAGTCAGCAAAGCTCTGTTTTTAATCCATCTAACACTAGTCTGGCGTCTACCTCTATGCTTTACAAACTCTGAACTGAAATATTTCCTTTAATTTTTTTTTAAAGATTTTACTTATTTATTCATGAGAGACACACAGAGAGAGAGGCAGAGACACAGGCAGAGGGAGAAGCAAGCTCCATACAGGGAGCCCGACGTGGGACTCGATCCCGGGTCTCCAGGATCACACCCTGGGCTGAGGGCGGTGCTAAACTGCTGAGCCACCCAGGCTGCCCTCCTTTAATTTTTTTAAGACTAGTTTGCATTTTTATACTCAGATCATTTTAGGAAAAAAGTTAACATTCTAATCATTTGTCTTAACTTTCAGTTCTTTCTTTTTTTTCTGCAGCATATGTGGGCAGAAATGTAATACTGACAAGTGGTTGCATCATTGGAGCTTGCTGCAGCCTGAATACATTTGAGGTCATCCCTGAGAATACAGTGATTTACGGTGCAGACTGCCTTCGTCGGGTACAGACTGAGCGACCACAGGTATTAGAACGTGTCTTTTTTTTAGAACCTGTCTTTAAAAAAAGTTCTTTCTGGGGCACCTAGGTGGCTCAATCACTTAAGCGTCTGCCTTTGGCTCAGGTCATGATCCCAGGGTGCTGGGATCGAGCCCCACTTTGGCTCCCTGCTCAGTGAGGAGCCTGCTTCTTCCTCTCCCTCTGCCACTCCCCTATGCTCTCTCTCTTGCTCTGCTCTCTCTCTTTCTCTCAAATAAATAAAAAAAAATTTTTTAAAGAAACAAAGGTTTCAATACAGAGAACAAACTGGTGGTTGCCACAGAAGAGGTGGTGGGGGATGGGTGAAATAGATAAAGAGGATTAAGAGGTACAAGCTTCCAGTTATTAAAAATAAATAAATCAAAAAACAAATAAATCAGAAATGAAGAGTACAGCACAGGGTATGTAGTCATTAATATTGTAATAGTGTTGTATGGTTGCTGATGGCAACTACATTTATCATGGTGAGCACTGAGTAATTTATCAAATTGTTGAGTCAGTATGTTCTAATTGAAACCAATAAAACATTGTACATTAATTGTAGCTAAAAAAAAAAAGTTATTTCTAGGGCTGTAGATTTTCTCCAAAATATCACATTATTTTTCTATTGGGCAGCCCGGGTGGCTCAGCTGTTGAGTGCTACTTTCAGCCTAGGGTGTGATCCTGGAGACCTGGGATCGAGTTCCACGACAGGCTATCTGCATGGAGCCTGTTTCTCCCTGTGTCTGTGTGTCTCTCTCTCTCTGTGTCTCTTGTGAATAAATAAATAAAATCTTAAAAAAAAAAAAAAGTAAATGATTAAAGTAAAACGTTACAGAAACATTACTAACGCTAGAATTTATTTGCAATGAAATTATTGTCTTTCAGTTATTATCAAAAATGTATACAAAGGTGACAATGACAAGTTGATGGTAAGAAAAGAAAATCCAGAGACGTTATTCCTGGTCTTACGTGTTTTTACTGAAGCTGTGTCACCAAACTTTATAAAATGTTGATTCAGTCTTAAAATATCAATCCTCCAGGGTAAGGAATGACTGTACCAAATTTATATTGGACAGTCAACTTGGATTCATCTATTAGTTTACCAACATAGATGACTTGAAAATAAACACAGTTTGTGAATATGCAAATATGCTTGGATATTTTCCTGTCTTATGAGAAATTATCTTCTCCTCCTAAGAACCAACAATAATGAAGAATATTTATTTAGAGTTTTATGAAGGAGGTAAATAAGATAGGGCAATTGGGGCTTTCTTTGGACAGAAGACATACTGATTAAGGTTTTGAGCCTCATTGCTTGGCACACAGTATAGTGTTTTAGTTACCCAGCTTCTCTCTCCTCTCCCAAAAGAAAATATTTTTCAAGCCATTGATCACTTTGCAGTTTATTCTTAGCCATATTTTATCAGAAATTAAAACTCCAGTTTTCTTTGGATTATTGTTTCTCTGATGTTTGGCTTTTATTACAATTATAAATGAGTATTACTTCCATAGACTAAAAAGGCAATAAGGACAAATCCAGCTTTTCTTTTCTCTTTCTTTCTGCATAACAGCAAAAATGATTGAAGAGGGAGAAATGAAATGAATTGGGTTAAAGGAGATTAGAATTAAGTGAGTAAGAATATCTGAAGTTTAGTACATACTGTTGTCCACATTTTACTGATCACAGTGATCACATAGAGGTCCTTTTTAAATGAAGGATTCCCCAGGCTTATTGAATCATGATACGTAGGGCCAAAACTCCTTGCTTGTCACAAGTACCCCTCCTGAGCTTCACGAGGGAAGCTTGGGCAGAGCTGATACATGAAGGGTGAAGAGCAGGTGAGGAAGATAGCTATGTGCTGTGTAGGTCCTGTGGAAAGCAGTGTACTCCGTGTGTTCTATGATTAGAACTGTACTACATTCACTGTGCTGTGCTCCAGGTATTGTGATTAGAAACGTTTAACTTTGGGATCCCTGGGTGGCTCAGCGGTTTGGCACCGGCCTTTGGCCCAGGGCACAATCCTGGAGTCCCAGGATCGAGTCCCGCATCGGGCTCCTGGCATGGAGCCTGCTTCTCCCTCCTACTGTGTTTCTGCCTCTCTCTGTCTATCATGAATAAATAAAATAAATCTTTTAAAAAAAGAAACGTTTAACTTTTTGGAGGCCATGATAAAGTCTTCAGAAGCAGGGTTGAAAACTGATTCATGTCTATTTTTATATGTAAAATCTTTTGACTTTTTCTTATTACCAAACTGAATATATATTCATTGTAAATTTTAAAAAAATTTTAAAAAAACCTAAACACTTAAGTGAAAATAAGCCAGTGAAAATCACCTATACTTCCCTGGCCTGGTGGTAATTATTTCTGCCTGGTGTTCTTAACTTTGCTTTCTGCTTATCAGTCCTTAATTATCTTATCGTTTTAGCCCCAGACTCTACAGCTGGATTTCCTGATGAAAATCTTGCCAAACTACCACCACCTAAAGAAGACTATGAAAGGAAGCTCAACTCCAGTTAAGAACTAAGAACAATATATGACATCAAGATAACAGTTTGACTACTGTCTTTTGAAAGGGCCACAGTTGTTCACGTACTCTTAGCAATTCACAGAATAATATGTGTTGATTTTATTTTGTAAAATTGAGTCAGAGAGGAAGGTAATGGATTTTCTTTGTAACTGTCCTCTATAATTTATATAAAATGCATTATTTTCCTATAGCCTTGCTCCTTTTCTGAGAATTTCCAGGTTTGATTTATTTTTCTTTTGTCATATAAAATGTTGTCATATAAAATGAATTTTAGTTGTATAAAAGACTCCGTGATAAGAAAGGGCATATTGTTATGTATTTATATTCTAGCATATATTGTACTAAATAAAAGTGCTAATGACAGGACCTTTAATGAACATACTTTAATCAGTTTTTCCACTTGAGTTAACTTTCCCAAAGTAGATTTTTTTTTATTTTTATTGCATACTAGCTAGGTTAAAGCTAATGTATTTACCTTTTCCTTTTGTGGCTTTGGAGCTATTTAAAATTTCAGGTGAAGTAGCAGCAGCTGTTGAATTAACTTGACTTCATTTTGTTTCCAAGAAAAAAAATTATTTTCATTTTAGTAAAACAAATAATTAGGGAAAGATGTTTCAGTAGCATACAAAATCAGTAAGAATGATCGCTGATGAAAATGACACGTAAATAACCATTGAGTGGTCCTGGGTTTCTGAGGACAATGAAACTAAAAGAGATTTTGATATATTTATAAATTTATGAAATTATTTTGGCACATTACTAATGATGTTATAATGTATCTAATTATATAATAGCAACATATTGAGGATTTTATTGTAATTCTAAGTTTTAATAATTCAAGTGCATATACATTTGATAAAATATACTTTTCAACTAAATCAGCTATTGATTAATACTAAGACATTAAATTCTAAAATATTTTCTCTTGAAATTAAATATTTAATTATATAGTAAAAACAATTTTTGAAGTTATAAAACTGACAGGTACAAACTAGCCTTTGTTCCAAAGTTGAATGATGCAGTTTTGGTAAGTATACTCATGACTCAAGTTAGAAAACTGTATTGCTACATATAGTGGGTTGAAAAAGGGCTAGTATCACATAAATGCCCTATTTTGACAACCGCTGTTTATTATTCTGCCCCTGGTGATCTCAACTTAGAATTTTGTTGATCATGGAAATTTTCTAGATAAAAGATCAGAAATTACAAAACTGCCTTGCAGAGGCTTTGCCAATTCCAAAATATTATCTCTGGACAAGCTCTGATATGCTGATTAATGTCCTGTGTTCCAAACTATACAAGTAATGTGTGAAGACAACAGTGAGGCACCTCCAAGGACATGGTAATAAGATACCTCCAGAGATTTTAAACTAATTAAGTCAGCATGTGGTGAGGTGAGCCCCAATGTTTCCTAGGTACACTGTGGTTTTTAAGTGGTACTAACTCATTTGAGGAAAGAAATTGTGAACAGAAACAGTTTGCCAAGAGTTTGGAGAAACAATATATAATGGTGCACCTACACTGTTATCCATGGAAGAGAGGTACTGAATCCATGACATGTGAGTAGTTTAGTGACCAGCAGTATTCTCTTCTTCAGGTAGTATCAGTTTATTAAGACTTGCTGTGGCTTGGGACTTGCCACTTTGCGCTCTCATTGCAAGCTTAACTGAACCACCTTCTGATTTGCTAATATGACTCCAAGCTATCATTCAGGAAAAGGAGGAACTCTGGGGATCCCTGGGTGGTGCAGCGGTTTAGCGCCTGCCTTTGGCCCAGAGTACAATCCTGGAGACCCAGGATCGAATCCCACGTCGGGCTCCCGGTGCATGGAGCCTGCTTCTTCCTCTGCCTATGTCTCTGCCTCTCTCTCTCTATCTGTGTGACTATCATAAATAAATAAAAGCTTAAAAAAAATTCTCTTTAAAAAAAAAAAAAAGGAGGAACTCTGGATTAAAAACCAGAATTACATTCTACACATAGCAAATTCAGAGAAGCTTTCTGATTTAGACATTAGTCTTCTATGGATTTACTTTGTATAGTTCAGCCCCCAAGTCTGTCAGTTTAGTTTATGAGTTCTAATATTCTTTTTTTTTTAGTTCTAACATTCTTATAAAATACAGTTTCTGACCCTTTAGGACAAAGAACGAAAGCCCACACAGTGTATTGTGCACTCTTCACTCTTCTCCATAGCCAGGCTATCACCTTTTACTAATAGTCTCTATCTCACTGAGACTGCACTCGAACTTCATCTCAGGCATTCTGGACAGTTATGCTAATAACTCTGTCATGCGTGTGACATAAAAGCAGCCACTGGGCAGGGAGAAGAAAGAAACCATTTTATCACAACATCTGACTGCCAGGTGGCGATAGCTCTTGGGTCAAAACGATAGATTTTCACCAGTTGGGTAGTATCTGATCTAGAAAGGGTACTTTACACTGCTCTCATTTACCCATGAACACACACTAATAGTTGTCTGTGCTGTGAAGAGAATTACCCCAAAATATAGCAGCTTAGTACAGTGAACATATATTATCTTACATGGTTTCTGCAGGCCAGCTCTAGGAGTGGCTTAATGGGTGATTCTGGCTCAGTGTGCCTCATGATGTTTCTCAAGCAATCAGACCTGCAGTCATCTGAAGACTGGGGCTGGTTGGTCGACTTGCAAGATGGTTGCCTCATAGGGTTGTTGGCAAGAGGCCTCAGTCCTGTACAGTGTGAGCCTCTCCACTGGGCTGTTGGTATCCTCATGATATGGCAGCTGGCTTCTCTCAGCTTCCTTCGGGTCCAAGTGAGGAATGACCTTGTCTCTGAAGTCATACATCATCACTTCCACTTCTTTTCTTTTCTTTTCTTTTTCTTTTCTTTTCTTTTCTTTTTTCTCTTCTCTTCTCTTCTTTTAAGAATTTATCTATTTATTTGAGAGAGAGTGCACACAAGCCAGGGGGAGGGGCAGAGGGAGCAGATTCCCCATTGAGTAGAAATCTCTACACAGTCTTAATCCCAAGACTCCAAGATCATGACCTGAGCTGAAGGCAGACACTTAACTTACTGAGCTACCTAGGTCATTTTATTTCTTGGAAGCAAGTTACTACATTTATCTCACATTCAAGGAAGAGGGGATTATGCTCCACCTTTTGAAGGGGGAGCATCTAAGAATTCATGTTTATGTTCTAAAACCACACAGACACATCCATTTATGACTGGGTTCCTTACTAGTGCATGGTCAGCATCTCTCAAGGGTCTCACATTGGGGAAGATGGGTTCAGGAAGAACTTCTATTAATGGGCATGGCACGTGACATCAGGGGTCTTCATCTTGGAAATTTAGATTACTTGTTCCTAAATATACTTATTTTTCATTAAGCATAAATTTAACTTTTCTAGGTTTAGTGGAAATTATTAATAAAAATCTAGAAGAGTAAGAATGTTGAATAAGAGTGTTGAGGGGATCCCTGGGTGGCTCAGCAGTTTAGTGCGTGCCTTCGGCCCAAGCCATGATCCTGGAGATCCGGGATCAAGTCCCATATCGGGCTCCCTGCATGGAGCCTGCTTCTCCCTCTGCCTGTGTCTCTGCTTCCTCTCTCTCTCTCTCTCTTTCTGTCTCTCATGAATAAATGAATAAAATCTTTTTTTAAAAAGTGTTGAAAATAATACAAAAACTTTTTAAGTGATCTCTATGCCCAATGTGGGACTCAAACTCTTGACCCTGAGATCAAGAGTCACCTGCTCTATCAACTGAGCCAGCCAGGTGCCTCCACAAAAAATATTCTAATATATACTTCGTAAACTCATCAACATTTTTAAAATTTGCATTTGTTTATTAAATGTGTATAGAACTTACTACAGGCCAGGCACTGTTAAAAGCAATTTACATATAACTAATTACACATGAAGTCATTTAATTATCTTAACAGTCAGATAGGTAATATCACTCTCTTACAGATGTAGAAATTGAGGCACAGACAGGCTAAGTAACTGTCGCAAGGTCACTGTCAACCCAATTCAGTACTGCATTTTAGAAATTGCATAATACAGTGGGCTTCCTAAATGCTAAGTAGGAAAACAGCTGAGGATTTGCCTTGCTTAGTTTTTGTTATTTTTGAAGTTCTTAAACAAAACAATAGGAAAACTTAAAAAGAATTATTGGTCTTCCCCTGAATTCAGTAAGAATTACTGGAAGAGAGGGATACCTGGCTGGTTCAGTTGGTAGAGTGTATGACTCTTGATCTCTGACTTGTGAGTTTGAGCCCCACATTAGGTGTAGAGATTTTTGTTTTTAAAGATTTTATTTATTCATGAGAGACACAGAGAGGCAGAGACACAGGCAGAGGGAGAAGCAGGCTCCATGCAGGGATCCTGATGTGGGACTCCATCCTGGGACTCCAGGATCACACTCTGAGCCAAAGGCAGGCTCTCAACTGCTGAGCCATCCAGGCGTCCCCGGTGGAGAGATTACTTTAAAAAAAAAAAAAAAATATATATATATATATATATATATAAAGAGGGGCCCTGGGTGGCTCAGCAGTTGAGCATCTGCCTTTGGCTCAGGTCACGATCCCAGGGTTCTGGGATTGAGTCCCATGTCTGTCTCCCTGCTCAGCGGAGAGCCTGCTTCTTCCTCTGCCCATGTCTTTGCCTCTCTCTGTCATGAGTAAATAAGTAAAATCTTTAAAAAAATACATTTAAAATCAAAAAACAAAAAGTACAAGTACTAAAAGCCTTCATGTTAAGGCTATTGGTCATTTTGTCCAAAGCTTTAAGGTGGTTCTGCTTATTAAACTAACTGTGGTGGTAAAATGTGGTGGTTTTTGTTATTTTTACTTACAAAATTAGTGTAATTTCATTTTAGGTAATTTAGGGGGTGGGGAGGAAATACTTCTAATCTTATGGCCCACTTTCAAACACCATCACTTTTATCATTTTGGTAGCTAATTCCTAGTGTGCAGTCCAACTGAATGAAGGTAGGTATGAAGGTAATGAAGGTAAACGAGTATCTCTTTCAGATACTTGAATCTCAAAGCTTTATGAACCCCACTGTAGACCTTCTGTTTTATCACAAGAGGGCACCAGGAAACGAGATAGATTTTCCCCTAGTGATTAGCAAATTGGTTCCCTTGGAGAATTTTATTGTCCTTAGTAATGTGACCCATATTAAGGGTACTTTAGACTTCAATGCTGGGTTGTTTTTTTTTTTTTTTTGGTTGTCAATGATTATTGAAATATTTTCCTTTGTAGTTCTTAACTAGCTGGGGATTCCACTGCACCACTATTGTTGTCATCTGTGATACCATGAGGGTGGCGGTCACCAACATTGCAGCCCATAGACTGGCCAGTCCCCAGGATGGATCTCTTTAATGGTTCCAGAG